TCACCACTGTGCTGGAGTTCTGGCCAACCGTAATGGAACGAGATGCAGGTGGCTCACTGAGCAGCCAAGCACAAGGCTCACCCAGCTGCATGGTACAGGTGAGGGCAGACCCTGGCCAGCCCCTCCACTGTGCACCCTCTGGGTCCTTCCTGAGAGTGGAGGGGACAGCAGAACGGGTCTCACAAGCAGGGTCCGGCGACTGACGCTGGAGTGCTCAGTGCACCTGGCATGTGTGGGCCCCTGGGGACTGTCCACAGACCCACATGGGAGTCTCAGAACCTGTCCAGGTGGACCTGTGACCCTGGGGCTCCATGCCCAGACCTGCCCTGCAGCACACGGCTCCCCCCAGCACCCCTCCAGCTGTGCCCCTCGAGACCTCTGCCCCACCGAATGCTCACGTCCATCCGGCTGTCCTCACACAGAGCCCAGCAAACCCCTTCGCTGGTTTCTGACTCTGGGTGGAAATGTCATTGGCCCTCAGAAACAGCCGGTACACACCTGCTCTTCCAGTCTACGGAGCCTCTCGAAAAATGGTTTCCTCTGCCCTGCAGGACCGGCTTCCTGCGACGAAGCCCCACCCAAGTATGTGGGCACAATAATAAGGAGGAGAGTCAGGGCCCTCCCGGAGTTGCCCATCCTGGACGTGACAGGTCCAGCAGCCGCCTTCTAGGCCTGAGGGCCAGCAGAGCAACTACAGGTCTCGTCCCACGCCCTCCAGGCCACACAGGGAGGAGCTTTCCGCACCCATCCGCCCTGGCTGGCCCTGGAAGCCAGCGCCCTTGGTCTGAGGTTCCCAAGGAGACCAGCATAAAACAAACGTAAACAGTGCTCTGGCAACGCGCTGCAGGCCGTGGTCCGGGCTCAGAGGCAGGTGGGAGGCGATGGCTTTAGCAGAGCACTCAGACACGTGTTCCCACCGAGGGCGCAGCAGGCACCCACATGGGAACCCAGCTGAGCTCCAGTAGTCTCGGAGCCAGGGCTGCACCGGGCCACCGGGTTGGGAGCCCCCCCCCCCCGCCCGCCAAGGCCATGGGGCTGAGTCTTCGGCTTACTGTGGGGACAGGCATGCAGTGGGTCCAGTGTGGGTGCTGGCTCACGTGGAGCAAGGTCTTTGCAGATGCAAACGAGATGGCCTACTGGCTGGGGGTGACTCAGGAGGCTGAGGGTCGCAAGCATGAAGACACTCCAGTGAGGTCGTGGGCCTCCACCTCACCCCAGAGAAAAAGATCTGGAGGTGAGGTCACTCTGGGTCACCCAGGGGCCTCAGAGCAGCCACACATGGCCTGAGAGGACAGAGCACCGCCTCGGCAGCTGCCAGAGCCAGGGAGAACAGAGAGGGCCCTCCAGGCCTTCCCGGGGAATGGCACCCCCGTCTCGGACTTCTGGCCTCCAGGCCCGTAGAGTTGAATGCCTGGTGTCTAGGCCACTCAGGGTGTGGCCACAGAACGCTCCACGGAGGGGTCCCTGATGCAGGCACTGTGATCCTTAAGGCTGCTGATCCGTCTTGGGACACGCGGCCAACCCTAAGGGCCACCTCGTCAAGTGTGGGAACAACACGGCTGTGGGGACGGTGCTAACGGCATCGGAGAGGAGCCTGCCATGGGGGCCGAGGTGCTCCTCAAGCACTGTGCCCTCTCCGTGTGACATGGGGAGCCAGACAGGCTAAAACTGTGCATCTAGGGGCCAGCCACTGGCATGTGGTTAAGGCAGCTGCATCTCACATGGCCAACTGCAGTTTGAGTCCTGGACCTGGCAGGTTGAAAGCACGCCACGCACATGTGCATGTCCAAAATTCCAGGAGGAGGGATTGTGCATCCATGTTGCCGGGGGAAAATTCCAGGAGGAGGGATTGTGCATCCATATTGCCGGGGGCTGCCTTCTCTCTCTCTTTCCTTCTCTCCCCTACCCTGCCCCTGTAAGCACATGACCCCATAGCAAAACTTTTTTATTTTTTAATTAGGCTTTTGCTAGAGGGTGTGCATGCTGGCCAGAGAGACACAGAGACAGAGAGAAGGAAAGTGAGAAATCACCCTGGGGGGGATGACCACACCATAATCCCATCTCCTCCATTCTCTTCCTGGGATTTTCGGCGTGCATGCAGACATGCCAGTGTGATTTTCAAACCACCCGGTCTGGGACTCAAACCGTGCTCGGCTATGTGGGAGTCCAGCACCCTAACTGCCATCCTACCTTCTAGCCCACCTATAGCAAAGTTTTCAAAAAGTAGAAAAGCAACACTGCACATGTAGCTTAGCTGTGAATTGGCCAGGAACAAAAAGAATAGACATTTCTGGGGCCAGCACGTGGCGTGGTAGTTGGGGCGCTGGACTCCCACATGGCCGACTGTAGTTCAAGTCCTGGACCTGGTGGCCTGCTTTCTCGCGCTCTCTCTCGCTGTCCCTTTCTGCTCAAATTAAACAAAATGAATAAGTAAATAAATAAGAAAGTAAAGTTAAATAATTCTTTTAAAAAAATCGACATTTCTGAGATGCAAAGACGTAAGAAACTTCAGTACCTTTTTTTTTGTTTGCCATAGGGCATATGCACTTGCTAGAGAGAGAGAGAGACAAAAAGAGGGAAAGTGAGAGATCAGCCTCTGGGGAGAGGCACAAGGAACCCCTTCTCCTCCATTCTCCTCCTGGGATTCTAGCACGCACGTGTACATTCCAGCATGGTTTTCGGGTTGCTGGCCGCATGGGGTCCCCCGCCCTGACCCCCATGCCACCTGTACACTGTCTTTTGGGAAGTCACTGGGTGATGGGAAAATTATGGAATAAAACACCCAGAGAGGACTGTAACCTAGCAACAGACGGAGGGGAATTCCTGGGATGGTGGGAGAGTCCCAGGAGCTTCTGCGGCACCTGCCACTGTCCCGTTCCTGGCTGCGTCCAGCATGGGCTTCCTCTCTGCCCTGCGAAGGAGTCGTCCTTGCCGGGGAGGGCAAAGCGCCCACTGGGGCGTGGCTGCACCGCCGCTTCTCTCCAGCTCGTTCTCTCTTTTAAATTTTTTAAGAGTTTTTTTTTTGCTATAGGGTGTGTGTGCTCGCCAGAGAGAGAGACAGAGAGATGGTCCCAAGCTCTCTTTTTAAAAGAATTATTTAAACTTGACCAGAGAGGGACAGAGTGAGAGAGCAAGTGAGAAAGCAAGTTTCCAGGGACCAGAGTTGGCGTAATGGCTATGTCGCTGGACTCCCACGTAGTCGACCGCAGTTCGTGTCCTGGACCCAGTGGCTTAAAACTCACACCGGGCGTGTGTGCGTGTGTGCCCAAGATCCCAAGGGGAGAGTGGAGGAGAAGGGATTGTGGTGTGGCCATCCCCCCTGGGGGGTGATTTCTCGCTTTCTGTCTCTTTCTGTCTGGCGAGCGCACGCGCCCTATAGCAAAAACCTCTCCCAAAAAAAGGAAAAAGCAAAGAAAAAGAAAAGAAAGCAAGGCGCCAGGTCCGGGACTCCAACTGCGCTTGGCGGTGTGGGAGTCCAGTGCCTTTAACCACCAGCCACCTGCTGGCCCCACCGCCGCCATTTCTCGACCCCGTCAGGGTCTGGGGCATGATGTCCACAGCCTGGTGTGTTTCTCAAGCCTGAGACTTGGTGGTCGGCCCAGAGAGGCGTGGCTCTCCCAGTCACTAGGTTTGGTGCGGCTGAGTGCGGGCTGTCTATTTTAAATGTTCGCTATGGGGCATGTGCACTCCCCAGAGAGGGAGAGGTGAGGAAGCCCTGGCCCCCCACAGTCCCTGATTTCCGCCTCTTTCCGGATTTCGGGCACACACGCCCACGTGGCGGGCCTGATTCTGAAGCTAGGAGGTCCAGGACTAGCCCAACGTAGCTGCCGTGCGGGATCCAACTGCCGGCCCTGGCCTGCAGTCCTTAAGTCCTTACCCCGGCCCAGGCTCGTCTGCGCCTGTCCCTCTGTGGCCGCCGGGAGTGTCCCCTAGCCGTGAGGACAGGGCGAGGCCCGTCACGTGGTCGGTGCCCAGTACGTTTTGGAGAGCGACCTCTAGGCTTTCGCGAGAGAAAGAGGGACTCCGGGACGCAAGGAGCGAGGAGCGCCATCACTCGCCGAGCAGGGACCGAGGAGAGCGGAGAGGGCACCTGGCGGGACCACGTGGGCAGCGCGGCCCGCCCATCAACGTGGCCCCGCCCCGCGCAGGCGCAGACGTGGCCCCCGGCCGG